TCTCTCACACACACACACACACGCAAAACGCATACAAGGAAACAATTATTGATTATGTTTGAGAATCTACTTTGTGAATAATTAACCAGCTGAAAACCGTTAACTTATAATAATATAGTATCTAGGCCTATTATAAGTATAAGTAGACTACACGTATTTTGTGGCACTTTCAATCTTATAAACAGGCGTCTTAGTGACACAGACCAATCGTTTTGGGTTCCAAGGGACGTTTTCATAGCTGCAACAATCTCTATCCACACCCCAGAGGCGGAATGAACCCAAGACCCCTGTCACTGATATTACATCAGTCGCTACCCGGCCGTGCATACAAAACAAGAGGTGTCCGCCAAACATAAATCGACATTTTCAATAAACCACGTTGAACAAACACAGCTACAGTTTTCTGTAAAATGAATCATGTCTCTGAACTTTATAACGACAGCAATAGAAAAAGACTACAAAAGGAGGGACGATAACAAGTCCACCAACAGCAAAAACAACAACAACAACAGCAACAACAACAATAACAACAAAAAAGCAACTAAAACAGCTATCAGCACTCCTTCCACCACAACCACCACCACCACCACTACTACCACTACCACAAACTACTACTACTACTACTACTACTACTACTACTACTACTACTACTACTACTACTACTACTACTACCACCAGCATCACCAGCAACCACCACTACCTCCACTACCACTCCCACCACCATCACAACATTTGTACTACTACTACAACAACGACAAAAACGTAATTGAAAACCCATGATGACTGTGTCGAGACGTGAACAGCAACAGAAACAACAACAACAACAACAACAACAACAACAACAACAACAACAACAATAACAACAACAGCAACAACAAAATCAAAAACCCTGATGACAGAACCGAAGCACAAGAACAGCGTTGACAGTATTATTTCAGCGCAAATTCAGAGACTGCCCATGAACACACCAATGACGGGCTGGTGTGATGTTTTGGACAAGACAAGATGCCTTACATTGTCACACACTCATAATAATAATGATCATTACCCCCGTTTTCATATTGGCTCAGTAATTTTGTGAAAGCGGAAGTGCAAAACAAGTTTGGGGTGGGGTAGGGGCCTGAAAGCTAGCTGTGAACTTTTGGAAAAAATCAACGAAATAATACTGACAATAATTAAAACTAACAACCACAATAAAACAATAATACTAGCAATGATAGTAATATATTAGATTTATTCCTAATAATAAACAGCATTTATGTTGCCAATTTTCATCTCGACGAGATGCTCTATGTACATTACGATATAAAAAAAGGTAATGCAGACACATACACTATCGACAATACTTTTACAAAGAAAATAATATCGTTATCATTATCATTATTATCAATATTGTAATTATTATCACTACTGCTACTAGATCTAATCTAGATTCTAGATCTACTTGGAAATGATCGTCAAACAATGTTAGCAGATCAAAATGTAAACAAATATGAGAAACGTACGCGCAGAACACGATAGCCACATCATCAATATCAACTAAATTTCTTGATCATCTAGATCAATCACGGAAAAGCGTTGGGATATTCTTGAGCAAATACCATTATCCTTAAATAAATCGTTATGTAGATCTAGGTCTAGTAATTAAGTCATCAATGGTACGACTCGTAGTCATGAACAAAGACTCAAACTTCAAACCTCAACTCGTCGAAGATCTAATAGAGCCGTTCTATCTATCAGCAGGCGCCAAAAACTGCAGGCAAACTTCTCTTGTGTGCACACAAAATTCTAAATCCCACCGAAAAAGAGCGTTCTTCCCGCGCTCCGAAAGGTGAACGTACTCACTCACACACGAACACACGCTTGGCGTCGTTGAATCAACCTGCGCGTGCGTCTACACACGGAGGGGATTAACTTTTATAACCACCACAACAATTCCTCCCGATTAAATTCGGATACAAATGGGGAAAGTTTGGAAGTATTAAAAAAAAAACAACAAACCGCGACAATCCACAAACACCTGCTGGCGTTTCAACGATCGATAGAAAACGCAGGCGAACACACAGAGACACACACGCGCTCACACTCACGAAGATTGAGAAAGTGGTTCACAGCGATGACATCCGAATTACTGTGGCGTCGGCATTTACTGTTTGTAAAACTCGTACATTTTTCCGACTCCACAACTGAGAGGCAGAGGGAAAGAAGACAGGAGGAAAGTGAGGAAGGACGATGAAGGAATCTGCTCGCTCCCTCCGTCCACGAGAAGGCAGAAGGCAACACGGAGCAGTTGTGAGCGCTGTCTGAGGGTGAGCAGGCCACACCACTGACAACTCACACTAGAACCACCGACTGAATGCGGCACGGGCCCTTCTTCGCTCCGCTCTCTCTCTCTCTCTCTCTCTCTCTCTCTCTCTCTCTCTCTCTCTGTATCTCCGTCCCTCTCTCAGACTCTCCGTGGTTTCTCTCCCGCGAGTCTCTCCTCATCTCTCGAGCTCTCCCGCCCCCTGGCTCTCCTCTGACACGGGCTTGTACTCAAAGACAAAAGCACGAGCGACCGGCGATGGCGCGCGGGGGCAACCGGGGAAAGTCTGGCACAAGTCAGTGGACCCACTCCCGCGCTGTGGTGAACTTTGAGACACCGGTGGTTGTTGGGGG